CAAAAAGTCAAAGTTTATTGAGGGCTACAAGGGACAGGAGGAAATGGAGAACCATGATCGCCTATGTCCTGAAGGGACACGGCACATAAAAGAAGAAGCTAATCACGAAACACGACTAGATACTTAGCTCGTATTTGTGAGCTTAAATTAAGGGGATCAGTAGTGAAATCGGATTGTATGGAACTTTAACAGGGTCTAAAATTAAGTGCGTTAAGACTGTTGTCCTCTCCTCGGTTCGTTCATTTGGACGGTCGGGTACTTCGCATTTGCTTCGATCTTGAGCTTCAGCTAGATAAAAAATGGTCGAATGCACGAACAAAGTATTGTCTAATTCTAGTTTCTGTAAAATGTTTTCTTTCAAATTTTATACATAAGTGATTGTTTTTATTCACCCATAAGTATAATAATGATATATTAAAATGGTATGATATATTTATTGAGCAGTTATTCCAATATAGCGTAATATTGGGTTTTAAAAAACTGATTTTCTCCTTTTTTTTAATGACGAATTTTATAGCATTCTGCATTTAATGCCCAACTTCAAACCGAGAAAAATGTTTAAATTATTGCAGTACATTTTAAAATTTTAATTACTAGATACCGCCAAATCATGCGCATTTTTGAAAAAATGATAAATAAAAGAAATACTTCATTAAAAAATATTCCAAAAATTAAGGAATTATCCGAATTCATTGAGATTTTTAGCATTTATTCTTTAATAAATGAACTTTATATTGATTTTTTCTACATTCTGTGGAAGCATTTTTAGGTCGGTTATACCCCCATTTACTTGGGACTAATCCGTACTAGTGAATTTTGGATGTTCCTAATTTTTACATTTTTATAAAACTAAATCCTCGATCAACTGTGAACACAACGAAAATATAGTCCGAAACCTTAAGAAAGGAATTCTAGAAAACTTAAAATATTTTTGGAGACATATCGGCAATGTCTAATTATAATAAAATATGTTGTATATTTTTTGTTTCCACAGGAAAAAATCTCTGATCATGTTTGTGAAAAAAATGACATGTATTATATTTTTACAGTACAATTTTCTTGGTCGATGCTGAAAACCTTCAAAACAAAGTGTTTGAAGAATCGAAAAATGTAAATTTTAATGCTGTTTTCGTGTGTGAACATTTTTTAAAAATAATTTTACATTTGTTCTATATTAATGTACAGTAGATCAAATATGAAAATCAAAAATAAAATTCAGAATTATTTTCCGTGGAAAAAAAAAAAATAACCAAAACCGGGTCACCAAAAATTAGTGAAAATTTTTGATTAATTTGCTCAAGCTGATAGTATTTTTGTCTGCTTAAGTTTTTGTTATCATTATAATTATGTCATGAATAAAGATAAAGAATTCACTTGAATGACATGGAATAAATGTTAGAGGTGTCGGAGTTACCTCCTCTTTTGCTCCTTAAACTGAGAGAACAGGTCATCTCGACTTTGACCTCTCGTTTGTGCCCCCTATACACTGTTAACCTGTGATAGAGACTAGCAGGTTCCCTTTTTAGTTAAGTTATATTACAAACCTAGTTGTAATATACTGCTAGACATTTTTAGGCCATAGTTCTCTTTAGCTAACCTCGACGTATTTTATTATAGACACTTTACTGTTAGCTTATCCAATTTAACTTGCTGGTCTCCCTTGTCACAAGACAGTGACTTCTCGCTTGATTCGAGGTGGGGTCGGCGACTGAAACGGTCGTTGGCTAGGGACGTCGATCAACGGGCTGCGTATTAAGTTACGCTCCCATTTTTTTTTTGTCTGCCAACTTGATAGTTGGAAACTTTTCTTTCTCTCTCTCTCTCCTTCGCCTACTACTTCCTGGCTTCTGTTCAACTCTCGGCATTCCGTCCCTACTGGCTGCCCGCACGTCGTCCGTTAAGTTTCCCGTACACTATGTTAGTAATTAATACGGGAGGTTACTAATATCGGACTCGACCGGCAAACACGCAACGCCTGCACTGGACCTGTGACATGCCCGAACAACGCCAGCTCTTCTTTCCTTCCCAACACGTCAAGTTGGCAACCCGGCAACAACCAACAAGTGACACCCCGGCAACGATCAACTTCAACAACCAACAGCGATGATCCTGCCAACAACCAGCTTCAACTGCAACAACCAACAGCGATCATCCCGGAAACTATCAACTTCAACAATCAACAGCGATGATCCTGGCAACAACCCACATCAGCTGCAACAACCAACAGCGATCACCCCGGCAACGACCAACACCAACCTCAACCATCAATGCCTGCACTAGAACTTCTGCACCTCCACCGTTCCGACCACTTTTATTTCTTTTTCTTTTCTAGAATAAATTAGCATATATCATATATATCCTCGTTCTGTCGTCTATATTGTTTCACCGTCAGATTTAACGTCTTCAAAAATGTTAGCGGGCCTCTTGTGACCCCGTTCACTCTTTCGTGATACGGGGCGCTCGGGGGGGGGGCGCTATAGAGGTTTGTATCTGACGTAAAAAAATATTTCCAGAATATTTTCAAATAATAACCATTTCTCTTAAAAAACGGAAAGAAAAAATTAATGAATAATAAGTGCTTAAATTTTCATTAAAATCGGATATTTCCCTGTTCTTGGGGAAAATTAAAAAAAAATCTAATGATTGGAGGCAGGGCCGGTGCAAGGATATTGTAGGCCTCCACCAAAAATCTCTGATACGGCCTCACCTACTCTACTACATCTCAATTTTCATAAGATAGTATTCATATACAATATAAATTTAATTTAACCTAATTATATAATAGTGCATCATTTGCAATATAGGTGGACACTTCAACTAGAAAAAATTGAAAATAAATACAATAAAATGACAATATTTCTAAATATACAAATCAGAAACAGAAACATGTCAAATGGGTAGTCCGAAATGTAATGAGAACAATAGAAGAACAAGTAATACAGTTGTTATGTTCCAGAATAATAATGTTGCTATTTCATCATAAAAATAACATTGCTATCAGTGATGATAAAGAAATAAGGATATTTCATCATTCTCTAAAAAATACTTTGTCATCAGTGATGATAGAAAAGAAGGATATGTCATCATGCTAACCCTCGTGATTATAAAAACGTCCTTTCCACTACAAAGAGTAGACCAGTAGAGAAGTAGCAGTACAGAAACACTAACACACGTCTGCCAGCACCCCGGGAAAATCGAAAACAGACGATTTCGAACGCATCCTCACAAACAAAATTTTCGGAACCAAACCAAGCAAGCACTGACTTTTAAACAAAAGAGACACTGATAACATTTAAACACACACCATGCCAATATTCTGTAATTCAGATAATAACACAAAAAAAATACAAATTCTTGTTATTTATGTCAACAAGTGTCTCAGTTTGTTTTATTGTTGTTATGCATTTTTATTTCTGTCATTATCAAACCCTACAGTCAACAAATAATAACAACAGGAGTGGGGGGATAATACATCAACACCCAACATTACCTACTCCATTAAACAGTAATACAAAGCATATGTACTGGAATTGTATTCAGTTTATATTCTCTTTCAATCATTGACGCTGTCACACATCGAGAAGATCTGTAAACACTCACAGAGCGTTGAAATAGAAAATTATTAAGGAGATGTGATAAAACTTTTGTACCACCCTGTGTAGTGTAGATCATCCCATAAATAAATCAGCAATGTTTTGCGGCAATTTTTAATATCAAGTGGAAATTCTTTTTGTTAAAAAGTTGAATAATTTTAAAACACATTCAGCATTATAGATAAAAAATAGTGATTTTTTTATAATGTCTTTTTTTTTTGTGATTTGGACAAAAAATATAAGAACCCAGAATGACATCAAAATCCATGAAAATGTTAAATACTTTAATAATAGTCAGTTGTGCTTAGTTTAATTTGTAAATGTTGGTAGAAAAAGGCAAATGCTGATGAGATAGCGAAAGTCCTAAGCTCTACTGAGGGCCCCCCAATCAAGCTTCCATCTGGGTCTTATTGTTAAATTTTTCATCATTTTTTGCAAATCTTTGGAAAATCCATATCTGGGTTGTTTTGAAATTTCGCGAAGTTTCGAAAAATAAAAAAATAAAAAATTTTATGATTTTCAGCGTAGAATTATTGTAGTACCTTATGTTTTTCGAAAAAAAAATAAAAAAAAAAAATTTTTATGTTTTTACAAAACTGGGTTCCCGCGGAGCTTCGGACATCCGGTTTATGAAACGAAAACACATGGTGGTCCAGGCGATTTGCATATTAAAATTTTTCGTGGGCGGTGCCTAAAACTGTTTAGCTCCGCCTCTCTATATATAAGTGGCCAGCACACTTGGGTTGAGCAGATGAGATCAGAGATCAGATCGGATAGGGTCGGAGAACGCGTTGGAATGCGAGAGAAGCGGCAGAGAGAGAGAGAGATTAGGGACCGTAGATCAGAGATCGCAGATCAGAGAACACGAAGGAAAACGCAGCGGAAACAGCTTAGTGGGTCTTGCTGATCTGGCCAGTTGGTTGCATGCGTCAAAAAGTCCTACCCAGAGATAGAAATCGAACCCGTGCGAATCCTGATAACTTCGTCAACAAAGCTGAGAAAAGCCGACTGCTATATCGGAGGGGGCGGACGAAGAACCACGACTTATCTCCCTTAGTACAGCCGAATTTCGACCGGCATAATTGTGTCTTTCTCTCTCTGTGACGTTCCGACCCAAACGAGTGAATCTCGTTAAGACAGTTTGTATTCGTGCAATTTCGTTGGTAGTGATATAAAAACAGTAGCCTTAAAGGGCTCTTTGTACAGGAACCGAAAGTGTTGCTTATATTTTTTCTTTCTTTGTGCCCTTGCGGTTACGACAAGAACCTTTCTGCACAAATAGCGATTTCTTTCAGCGTGGAGCCCAGCCATTTAATTCATCCTACCTCCGGATCGTTCTGAGGGATCGAAATACTGCTGTTCGGATCAAAAATTCACAACGTGGCGGATAGTGGTGGTTCCTTCAGTTCACCGGGGGAGGACCGGGTGGTTTACTTTTCGGCCAGAACCACCGGAGAGACAGGACAGAGCTGTAGCCGGCAGGGCTTCTACGTCAGAATTGGTGCCTTGTTCCAGGATTCCGACCCATAGATTTACCAGGGACATGGAGGGAGAGGAGCGCAATTCCTTGTCCCGGAAAAAAGAAAAAAAAAAGGGACTAAAAACTAAGTATGACCAAAGAGACTGTAGTTACGAACTATCGGTCAGAAAGGTTTGGAAAAAAGAAGAAAACATAGAGCAGAGAAAGGTAAGTCACCTTTTTGGCCCTCGGTTCGCTTGTTGCACGCAAATCTGCCAGTGTATAGTTGTTGTGTGTGATTTCTTCACATGCATGCTGTTGGAGTGTCGATCTTGTGTGAGGCGAGTTTTCCTTATTTTTTGTTGTCTCTTGTTGAATAAGGGGAACGTAATTAGGCGTTAGGATGAGTGTAGCGGGCTCAGATATCACAGATGACCAGGGAGAGGTGGGAGTCCCCGAAATTATGATGGGGTTCCGCAGACTAATCGGAGGCATGAAACTGCCCTCGTTTAGGGACGACCCAACGAAGATGCAGGAATGGATACTGTCGATCCAAAAGAAACAAGTCATATATGGCTTGTCAGACCAGGAGATGGTCCTGCTGGCACACGAAGAAGCGGCCGGCCCAGTGTCCAAATATGTCGGAGGGCTATATAGGGAGAACCCTACCCTAACGTGGACAGAGCTGAAGTCTGCCCTATTCCGACAGTACGCCAGTGAGAGCACGGCCATTGAGGCAGTTAGGAAATTGTTCAGACTCCGGCAGGGAGATAAGGAAGCCATGGAGGATCTGGGAGAGAGAATAGCGGGCCTAGCGGCACTGGCGTTCCCGGAGTTGGCGACCTGAAACAGTAGTCCGATACAGGCCCTGTTAGCCGACGTTTACATGGATGCGTTGAGCGTTAGGGAGCTGCGCGGTGACGTCCTGAAGGAAGGACCGAGCACCCTGGCCGCGGCCATTGAAGCAGCTCACAACAGTGAATGACTTTGGGACAGAATAAGGGGTAGCGTAGCCAGGGACCCCAGGGTACCAAGATAAGGAAAAAGGAGGAGCAGGTTGGGGCACGGGACCCAGAAGAAGAAGTAGTGGAAAATTGGGAATTGGAGGCAGAGCCGAATAAACGAGAATGAGACTTGCAGTATGGATTCTATAAATCCACGCCAGGCCGGTATGGGCTAGTGTGCTGGACGTGTAAATACGCTGGGCACAGGGCTCGGGATTGTCCAACCAATTGGGGAGGAGACCCCAGGTCTCTGGGACCCAATTGTATGACCTGTGGCGAATAAATGGTAAATTAGGTATCAAGCGGACTAATGCGCTGTTACCACCCACCAGGAAAGCAAAGAGCTCGGGGAACGCCTCTGAGTCATCTGTGAAGGAGTAGGAGGCAGGGTGGCCCCAGTCCGAGCAAGACCTCTGAAATGTTGGACGTGTGGAGTGGTTGGTCATTTTTCGGCCGATTGTCAGCGGAGAAGATGCTGGCATTGTGGGGGCACAGGCCACATGAGGCGAACCTGCTCCCACAAGGAAGGAATTCCCCAAGACGAACCGGTTGGGATAGAAATGAACTGGAGGGACAGAGGGGTAGAGCAGAAAGGTGCTATCATCCAAATACCATCCCAGCCAGAGGGGCCCTCAGACGATTAATGGGACCTTGAAGAAATAAGGAAACCCCCGTTGCTGGCCACTACCTCTTGGTGGTCCAGAGGGGAGGGGAATAGAAAGGAATTTTGGAATGGAGGGAAGGCCCGAGTGTACCATTTGCTAAAAGATGGGCTAGATTTCACCTGCAATGTCTTGCTGGTAGGCAAGAAGGTTAGGGCCCTGGTTGATACTGGAGCATCAGTATCACTGGTTAGTTCCAGGACCTATAGACAATTAGGGAGAAGGGAAAAGTTGAGGCCAGTAGATTTATCCATAAGCCAGGCTGATAGCAGCAGAATGTGGATAGAGGGTATGACATGGCTGCCATTTCAATTAGCAAGGACTAGAGGTGTCATAAAGGTATATGTAGCGCCTGAATTGTGTGGCGAGTTGATTCTGGGGAGTGACTGGCTTAAACAGCATAAAGCTCAGATCCGTTTCGACCCAGCCAACCTGACCTTGGACAGGGTAGGGATACGGCTAGGGGAAGACAATTATGAGCAGCTACCTGTAGTAGCCCAGGCAGATATAAAGTTGCCCCCTAGAACCACTGTATCTGGGGAAGGCGAAATTATAGTAGAGGTAGCCCTGAATGACGGGTTGTATCAGGTAATCTCCACAGGTGGGTATGATGATAATGAGGGAGAAGTGACAGTATGTAGTTCACTAGTGAAAGGATCAAGGACTGTACCCCTGCTTCTGACTAATTTGGCTAATAAAACCATCAGAATAAAGTGAGGAGAAGAGTTAGCATGGGCTTGCCCCATAAGAGATGTCGAACAAGTGAGGATAAGAAACGAAAATAGATCCGGGAACAAGACAGTGATTAGCGAATTGAGGGACGAGGACATAACAGTCATTGAATGTTATAGAAGAGAATTAAGGGGTTTGCTAAGTAGAAACCGGGAGGTAATAGCAATGACAGATAAGGAGCTAGGACAGACAGAGACAGTAGAGATGAGGATAGACACCGGTGACCATCCACCTATCAAGTTAAGGCCATATAGAACCCCAATCCACAAAAGGAAATTAGTAGAGGAGGCAGTGAATGAGATGATGGACTCGGGGATAATTGAGAGATCCAAATCTCCCTGGAGCTTCCCTATAGTGATAGTGGAAAAGAAAGATGGAGGGCACAGGTTTTGTGTGGATTTTCGCCAGCTGAACGCGATTACAAAACCGTTAGCAGTGCCTCTCCCCCTGATTGATGACATTTTGGCTCTCCTAGGGAAATCTAAGTGTTTTTCCACCTTTGATTTGAGATCGGGTTATTAGCAGGTGGCCCTGAACAAGGAGTAGCAAGAAAAGACCGCGTTCACCTGTCACATGGGTCTTTTCAATTTTAGGGTTATGCCGTTTGGGTTGGCAAATGACCCGGGTGTGTTTAGTCAGCTCATGTCCATAGTGTTGAATGGCATGAAGACGTTTGCCATGGCATATCTAGATGATATCATGGTATTTTCAAAATCACCCGAGGAGCATTTTGAACACATGCAGCGGGTGTAAGACCGCCTAAGGAGGCATGGCTTGAAGCTGTTAGCTGTCAAAATGTCAGTTTCTAAGAGAGGAGACAAAATACCTAGGGTTCGTGATAAATGAAGACGGAATAAAGACCGAGCTAGACAAGATAGAGGTAATAAGGGCCATGCCCGCGCCGAAAACTGCAAGGGAGGTTAGGGGCTTTATAGGAGCCATAGGATATTATAGGAGGTTCATACCCGCATTTAGTCGGTTGACGGGTCCTCTGATAGCCCTGACGAAGAAATACGCCAGGTTTAGGTGGACGGAGGATTGCCAGCGTGCATTTGAGGCTTTAAAGGACCATCTGACTGCTGTGCCCTTGTTAGCGTACCCAGACTTAGGTAAGCCCATGGTGCTGTACACTGATGCTAGTGATAGGTGCATCGGAGCAGTACTCACGCAACCCTGTCCCGATAAGGATGGTCCCGTGCCGGGGGGTGCCTGAAGAGGTACCAATCTATTTCCTTTCTCATCGACTTTCCGAGATCCAACAAAGATGGCTGGTGATAGAGAAGGAGGCGTTCGCCATCCTGTACGCTGTGCAGAAGTTGAACTATTATCTGAGTGGGGCAGTATTTACCATTAAGACAGACCACCAGCCCCTCAAATACCTGTTAGAGGCAGAGTGGACGAACAAAAAGATCCAACAGTGGGCACTGAAGCTAAGTGGGTACAACTGTAAAATAGAGTACCTAGCCAGGAGGGATAACACCTGTGCTGATTTGCTATTGAGGATTCCGACACAGTTGGAAACGGAGTCCATCAAGTTAGAGCCAGGTGTGGACGATAAGGCCTTCCAGATCAATGTAATTAACTCACACGGGTTAGAAGGTAGACCTAATTGGGAAGATCAGGAGGCGGGTGAAACAGAGACCTTACGGATCCCCACTGGATAGATATTGTTAGACAAAGTCAAGGGGATAGTGACATAACAGCCATTAGGTCCAGGGGTAAAGGCAGGAAATACCTCCAAATATGTATTGCAGGATGATGTGTTGTATTACCTTTCAGGGAAAAGATGAGGAGGTAAGCTTGAAGATGGTGATACCCGAAAAGTTGAGGTCTGAGATCTTAGATCAGTGCCATAGAAAGTTGGGCCACATGGGGATTGACAAGACGCATGGGTTGATAATGAGGAACTACTATTGGCCCAAGTTGTTTAATGATGTTGTAGATATTATGTAAAGAAATGTGTAACGTGCCAGGTGCAGAGTAGAGGAAGTAGGGCTGCCCCGGTTTTAGACAGATATTCCCCACTACCTGTTCCAGAAAATGAGTTTAGACATTTCGGGCCCTTATGGGCCAACTGATAGAGGGAATTGTTACATATTAAGTTTTGTGGATTGGCTGACAGGTTGGCCTGAAGCATTCGCCATACCTGATAAGAAGGCGCGAACGGTGTCAGATATAATACTTGGCGAGATATTTCCCAGGTATGGGGCTCCCGAACAGTTGGTTACGGATAACGGTTCGGAAAATGTAAATCAGGTTACGAGGAAGACGTTGGGAGAACTAAATATCCAACACATAACCACCTCCCCATACTATCCCCAGAATAACGCTAAGGTGGAGAGATTCCATAAGACTCTTGCTGATGTGCTGGCTAAATTAGCAGAGCATAATAGGGAGAATTGGGATGTTTTTAACCCAAGCCTTAGCAGCTGTGAGATTCTCGGTGAACGAAACGACCAAGTTTTCCCTTACTATTTGGTATATGGCCGGGACGTGGTCTTACCCATAGACAACCTATTAAGGCCTAGGAGGAAATACTTAGGGAGGACCATCATAGGATAATTTTAGAGCAGCAGCACAAAAAATCTTTACACAGGTGAGGAGAAGAATTCGAAGAGCCCAGAAAAAGCGAAATGATAGGATAAATAAGAATAGAGAAGAGGTTTCTTTCCAAATAGGTGACCCGGTGTATTATAAAATACACCTGAGGGACGGTAAACTGGACCAGAGGTGGAGCCCCTATTATAGAATAGTGGAACAGACAGGCCCAGTGTCTTTTGTGATATGAGAACAACTGACTGGGAAAGTGAAAAGAATATACGCAAATGACATAAAGTTAGCTGAGATAGAAGACTGGAAAGGGAGCGGCATAGAGACGAAACAGAAAAAACTGAGGAGGACCACACTAGTGGAACCAGAACTACTAGGAAGTGATAGTGAAGCTAGCGAGGAGGTCGAAATTAGTCTTACTACCCTTCAAAGGCTAAGGGAGGTAACTCGACCCCCTGTTGGACACCTTGAGGAAGAGAATATTAAACCTTGTGATAGCGGAGAAGAAGACGGATCGAGCAATTGGGATCCTGACGACGAGATTCCGCTAGCTCAATTACGTAATCAATGGCAGACTGAACAAGCGCCTGATAATGAGGAGGAGTTGCCATTGAGGTTGCGATTGCGAGGAGCAACGCTTTAGAGCAGACTGATTAAATAGAAAATCTGTGCAGGGGTTGTGTTAGACGAGTGACAGTCTGGGGTCGATTGTGCAGTTGTCATCGGCGTTACGCAGGCCGCGTAGAAGGGCCCCTGCGCGGACTCGGCGCTGGTGGTGGTGTGGGTTGGTCCTGGGATGTGTCACTCCACAATGCAGCCGTCTGACGGAAAATATAAATAGATAATTATGTAAGATAGACTGTTCTCTCCGTCTCTTTCAGACATGGACGAGGGAAGGCCCTGGGCACTGGTGATGCTGATTTTGGCTGCTAATGCCTGGGAGCACAGTGAAAATACCGTGTTTAAGAAGACGAGCGAGGTGATCATAACTAGATCAAAGTGGTTAATCACGTTAGTGATAGATTTACAGCCGTATGAATTGCTACTAGCCCAGTTAAGGGTCGAGGTAGATAAGTTAGAGACAGCCAGGACACAAGTCGCCGGAGAGTATTCACAAGGTCTAAACTACCACCGGGTGTTGTATTCCTTAACTCAGGAGTCCCTAATACTTGAGAGGCAATGGAAGGAGATGAGCGATTATTTAAAGGGAATTAAGTTGTTGAGAACTAGACAAAAGAGGGCAGTGTTACCTATAATAGGTAAGGCATTAGGTGTGTTATTTGGCACGGTGTCTGAAGATGAGATAAGGTTGATCAAGAGGAAGCTGACGCAGGTAGAGCAGAGGCAGCAATCGATGGCCCAGGTAGTTAAGGAAAGCGTATCGATACTTAATGTTACTAGGTTGGAAGTGGCTAAGAACAGAGAGAGTATTAATTGGTTAATTGCCTACCTACATGATCTTAGGCAAGAGCTGGCGAATGTAACCACAACTATAACAACTGGGTACCAGGAGCTGGAGGGTTTCTTGCTAAAGCATCTCCAGTTGTTAGCTATAGTGAATAGGGTGCGCCAAACCAGTCATACGTTAACAGTGCTGTTAGAACATGTGAGAGCACAGTTGGATATGCTGTCTATGGGACACCTATCCCCGAGTATAATA